TGTGAGGTTTCAGTATGTGTCTTTCCTGACTCAAAGCGTCAATGTGTCCGGCACTATCCAACATCCCTCAACTCGTAAGGATTCAGTATGTAGCTATCCCGACTCAAATCGTCTCTGTGTCTGGCAAACTCAAAAACCAATCCATCTGTGAGGTTTCAGTATGTAGCTATCCCCACTCAAAAGCGTCTATGTGTCTGGCAAACTCAAAAACCAATCCATCTGTGAGGTTTCAATATGCAGCTATCCCCACTCAGCGCGTCTATGTGTCTGGCAAAAACCAATGCATCTGTGAGGTTTCAGTATGCAGCTATCCTCACTCAACACGTCTAGGTGCCTCGCAATCTCCAATTCAAATAACCTGTGAGGTTCAAAATGTGTGTATCCTCATTCAACGCGTCCATGTGTCCGGCACTCCAACATCACTCAACCCGTGGGGTTCCAGCAGCTATCCCCACGCAACCCGTCCATGTGTCTGGCAATCTCAAACCTCACTCAACCAGTGGGGTTTCAGTATATAGCTATAACCACCCAACACGTCTATGTGTCCGGCACTCCAACATCACTCAACCTGTGAGGTTTCCGTAAGCAATCCTCACTCCACGCATCCATGCGTCACGCGTCTTTGGTAGCGCATACTATGGGGGCTATATTTGGGGTGGCGTGTTTTACAGCGCTTTGCCAACAGCGCCAACCCACTGAAGTCTAGATTGGAGGGGGGGGCGATGCACAGGGGGGGGGGAGAAGTTGCGTTGTCAGTTCTGGGTCGCAAGCACTTGCGCTGCTGTGTATCAATAGGAATGACACATGCATCGACACGAGCAACGGTGTGCATGTAGGGTTGGGTGAGTGCTGCCAGGACCCGTTGTTAGTCTACGCATACAATGTCCATGTGTATCGGCACCTCGGCAGCGGCATCAGCATGCATTCCAGAAAAAACAAACCAGCATACTCGAGGCGATGCTGCTGATGACAGCCGTTTGAATGTAGTGCCAATCCTCCGTCCTCCTCTGTTCCACGTATGCTGCATACTGCTGCTGTAGACTTTGCTACATACTCACCAAGTTGAACACCCCGACACCGCCCGCATGTAAACAACGGCCGTGGTCTTCCTGAAGAACGAGTGGGTCGGATGAGCCAGCCCGATGTCTCTCTCGCCATGGGGATCACCAGCAATGCACATGAAGATAGCCAGGGCCACGAAAGAAGAGTGGGACGCGCCATAAAGAGCTAGCAGAGGAGCGAGGGAGCTACAGCAGGCAGTGGGGCAAACACACAGCACAGAGCCAGCGGCGGTCGAGGCTAGGGGGTACGCAGACAGTGCATACCAGCCCCTCAACACAGGTAGTTTGCAGGCAGTCCGCGCCCCGCAGCCGAGCGACACAGCAGTGCAAAAAGCAGCAGAGAAGTCAGCCAGCAGCTAACTCGCTCGAACCTGCCTCGCTGTCACTCAACCATGGCGGATAATGCTGCTGGTGATGCTACCGGAGAGCAGAAGGTCTCCAAGAACGCTCTGAAAAAGCAGGTGTGAAGCACAGCCCTTTGGATGCGGTGCTACCGCTGGGCGCATTTTTGGTTCAGGCTCCGTTGGCAGGCAGCTCCGTGGATACGTGTAGGCCACAACCCGATACGCTTAATGGTGGAACCCTCTCAGCTGTTCCCTGCAAACCTTGACCGCCGTCCCATTGATCTCATCGATAGAGAGCAGTAGGATTGAAATGAAACCTCCTGGACAAACAAACGTAGACGGCCTACTTCTCGGGTGAGTTTTTTAAAAATTTGCGCAAGCGAGAAATGAGGAGAGCCACACAGCTTGTTTCTCGGGTGCTCCTGGCGCCGGGCAGGCAACACCACGAGTGTGCAATCGGCCAGAGCTTCACGTGTGCTCTCGGGGGCCTCGAGAAGGCTCCTCGTTGTTCTTTTTTTGCTTGCAGTAGCTGTGTGCTGCTCCATCTCCGGAATGCCTACAACTGCTGTGCGCCTCATAGACTAAGTGTAGCTGTAGAGCAGTGCACGCGACGTGGGCGGGCAACAACGGGCCAGTCTGCCGGCTGCCGGCCGTGGGAAGGTGCAAAGGATTGTGCACACATTTCACAAGGTACGCCCCTTGCCCTGTCAGAACCAGCAACAGTGGCGTGGATTCAACAAAGGGCAGTCTTGTCGGAGTGTTTTGCGGCTGCGTTGGGGCCGTGGAGCAGTTGACAAACGCTTCACCGTCATTCCACCAACAACGCTCGACGAAGTCGTCATCGTGCTTGTGTCTGTCATGTTGACTTACGGTCGCCACGCCCGCTCCCCTACGTGCTGCAACGGTGATGGCATCACATGACTATCGAACAGAATTGCAACAAGATGAACGAGTCGCGGAGATATTGCAGGAGATCCTTTATTGCTCCCAGAATACCACTGGTATACTATAACTAATAGGAGTATGGTCATCACCGACAGGCAGACTATTACACTACGGTACCACAGCGGTATTTCCTCTCTCAAAAACAAAACCCCTCACCCTCAACCGTGTGTACCCACCACTCGCCCATCTCCACTTCCACGTCGACGAAACACGCACCGTACATCAACAGCTGAAGGCAGAAGCAGCCGCCAAAAAGAAGGCAGAGAAGGAAGCAGCCAAGGCTAGCGCCGCCGCCGCCGCGCCTCCCGCCTCCGCGGCGGCGTCCGCTAGGTCCAAGGCAAAGGCCGGCGCTGCCGACGAGGAGGAGCTGGACCCGACACAGTACTTCGCTAACCGCTCTAGGTGCGCACGCGACAATAGCCCGATGTAGATGGACATATCTCTGCGAAGTTTTCAGTTTTGCAGCGTTTTGGCGCAACATCGCAGCGGGTACTCATTCGGGCGCCGGGATCCTCTGTATGGTACAGCAGTGTTGCTGTCCGGTTCTCTCAGGACTAGCATCTGCAGCGTTGCTCATGACAATGCTGCATTTTGTGTTTTTTACGGGCGTGTGGAATGTTTTCGTTGCTGATTTGTTGTTGTTGTCGGTGCTTTGTGGTAGTGATAGTGGTGAGGGTCTAATTGCTTCCTTCCACGTTGTCCGTCTGGCGGTCCTGTAGTCCTCTCTGGCTCCGCCCGCCGCCTGGAGGATTCTCGCCCTTCATGCGCTCAACTCAGTACCAAAGAGTGATTTTTCGACCGTCAACCGTTTTCATGACGAACCATACACCAAAGCTACAGTGCTAGAGGTCACAATCCTCCCCTCTTGCGTGTGTTGTATATCCCGCTTACCCACAGGGCAATCGCCCAGCTGGAGGAGGAAGGAACCAACCCCTACCCCCACAAGTTCCACGTTACGATCAGCATCCCGGAGTTCGTGGCGAAGTTCAAGGACGTGGAAGTCGGAGAGAAGCAGGTGGATGGTGTGGTGTTGTAAGACGGCTGGGCATGAGCGCGAGAACGCGAGCGAACGGCTTCGCGCTGCCATTTCTGTTTTTTCGGGTTTTTTTCATGGGATTTTCGTTCGTCGTTTTTGGTGTTGTCCGTGTGGACGACTTGGTGTGATGCCGCATAACAAAACGTAAATGTGCAGTGGGATGCTGGGCGGGGGCGTGCGCCACTCCGACGTTGTTCTTGTTTTTTGTAGCCATGGCAACCAATGGAGTCTAGCCTGCTCCGTTTTCGCTGCCGGTGGCTCTCGTAAACGCGACGCTGTACATCATCTGCGCCGGTTTTTGGTGGGGCCTACCTGTGCCCCTGCCCCCCTTCTCCAACTCGCCCAGTCGAAACCGGTTTTCATCCGTTTCCTGCGCCCCATCTGGTGCGCCTACCTTCCTCGTCCCCACACTCATCCCGCCTTCGCCGTGCTTCTTGTCGATATCTCGCTGTTGTGTCCCTAAACCGTCCTTGCATGCTCTGGTCTGGTGTCAGTCGGATGTCGTGTCCCTCGCGGGTAGGATCGTCAAGAAGCGCGAGCAGGGCAAGCTGCTCTTCTACGGCATGAAGGCGGACGGTGCAAGCGTCCAGGTGATGGCCTCTCTGAGCGACTACGAGGGTGGAGAGGAGGCGTTCTGGAAGGTGAGTTTGGGTTGTTCTTTGAAGTTTGGAATAGGGGGAGGGGAGGGGCTATGCCGAGAGGAAGCTTGGGTCTGGTTTGAACAGACAAGGGCAAGTGAGTGAGTTGGTGGTGTATCCTGCGGAGGTCGTCCTGGGTATTGATTTCCTTCATTTCGCCTGCTACTTTGGAAACACCCGGCAAGCACGCATACAGCACGCTGCAGCATCCATCTCCGCATCTTTTCTCATCATCCCATCCCCTCCCCCGAATGCATTCGAGAAAGAGACGAGGAAGGTATATAGTATGGACGGGTACGTCACCAGGAGTGAACCATCCAAAGACCGTCGTACTCGGAGGGTACAAAGCGCTAATACAGGAACGGATAAGAGAGCAAGAAATTCCTGAGTGACGTAGTCTGGGGGCAGAACCGTAGACAACACCAGACTGTTGGTGATGTTTGGTCAGGGGGTCTAAAAGTAGCGGTCGTCGTTCCAGAAATGTTTCCGTTCTCACTGGTGCTTCGGGTGCCTCCCCCCACCGCCCGCCGCTCTTGCCTCCGCCTTTATGACGTCAAAATTGGGACGAAAAAACGATAAAAAGACGAACGGACTGCTGCGAAGAGGGGACCTGATCGGGGTGACCGGTTACCCCGGAAAGTCGAAGAAGGGGGAGCTTTCGGTTTTCCCGACGACCATGGTGTTGCTGTCGCCGTGCTTGCACATGCTCCCCAACTCCAGGGAAGGCCTCAAGAACCAGGAGGTGGGAAAATATGAGGCGCGGGAGAAAATGGGGGGGGGGGGGGGGGCAAGAAGGGGGGGGAGGGGGCGTACTCTTATCTTTTGCATGCCTTAGCGGTTAGACCATTGACCACGCGTCCTCGAGAGGACGGAGCATTGTTCCCACAGGACCGATCACCGATGGCCAATCGTTCCTTTCTACTTCGCCAAAGGTGGTTCAAAAATGTCTTCCCTAGTCTGTCCATCCTAACGATATCCCTTCCTGCCNAAAAGGGGGGGGGGGGAGGGGGCAAGAAGGAAGTTGGTGGTACGCCGTGCTGCTGGTGGTGCTGCCGTTGGTGCTGCTGCCCACGAAAAATGTGATTTTTGTGGGCAAAAGTCGTCGAGAGCATTTCCCTCGGTTCCAACAAGCCTTAGCTTTTTTGAGCGCCCGGAGCCGAGAATCATCGTCTGACAAACCGCACACCGTTGTTTTACGCCGTCGTGGCCGTTTGTCGTCCGTGCTGTTGGTGTTTGTTTTTTGTGTGGTCGGTGGAATCTCGCGATGGCGCCGCCGTCCCACCCGGCCGTGTTCCCATGTGCATGTGCATGTGCAGACCCGCTACCGACAGCGGTACCTGGACCTGATGACCAACGACGAGACGAGGAGGGTTTTCCAGGTGTGTGGGGGCGGTGCGGCACAGGGGACAGCCAGCCAGGCAAAGCAGGCAAACCTACAGACGTTGGGGCGGCTCTTGGTGATATCCAGGGCTCTCTTATGTGTCTGTTGTTTTCGCGAAGTTTTGCTTCTCGACGAAGGGCGTTCACGTCTCCGAGCTAGCTGCCTTAACGACATGTGTGGCAGTGCCAAAACGCTTGCTTCCCTTTCGCGATGGCTTTGGCGATCATCACCTGCATCTGGCGCTTGGCTTGCGCGTGTTGTGACTATCAGCTCTTTCTTGTGTCCTGTGTTTTTTTCTTTTCTTTTTTCCGGCAGGTTCGCTCCAAGGTGGTGAACTACATCCGCTCCTTTTTGGACGAGCGAGGTTTCCTGGAGGTGCGTGTGCCAAGGTGGCGTGTTTTGGTAGGGGATCAGTCCTCGGACGATTCCATCTTGTTGGACCAAGGTATCTACGATAGCGTTGGTGAGCGAGTGCCGGGACTGTCTGCGGGAGAGCGGCAAAGTCCCCTTAACGATATTAATCCGCTACCATCGATTAAGGACTTTGTATTGAGGTATTCCTGGGCTCTATCGCATGCTATGGTACCATATCATATGCATGCCACATGCCGAGGAGTGAGCGTAACGAGCGATTTTAGTTGTGCCCGTCTGTACCCATCCTTTCCTTTCCAATCTGTTGTCTGCTCGGCTGCTTCTGCTCCCGGCCCCCACCCCCCCCTCCCCACCCCTGAGAATCGAAACGCCAATTTCCTTCTCCGTTTTTGTGCACCCGCCTGCGCAGGTGGAAACCCCAATGATGAACATGGTGGCCGGCGGCGCGACGGCCAAACCCTTCGTTACCCACCACAATG